CGTTAATGTGCAAAATCTTCCCCTCTACTCTGCGAGGTAATGCTCGAACTTGGTATTACAGTCTACCCCCGAGGTCAATTAGTTCTTACACAGAGATGGCATCTGCATTTGCCATTAAGTTTTCCAGTAGAAGGTTGATTAGGAAAACTACCACTGAATTGATGCGAGTTAAACAGAAGGACGGAGAGTCTCTAAAGAACTACATGAGCAGGTTCAATGATGCGGTGTTGGAGGTTAGTTCCTTCGACCAAGCTATGGGTATTGCAGCTGTAATTTCTGGTCTCAAACATGATAGGTTCAGAGACAGTTTGATCAAACATGCTGCCACCACCTTCAGCGAGGTGAATGATAGGTCTCTCAAATTTATAACTGCTGAGGAATACGCCCTGGCACAAAACCAACCTTCCTCTAAGAACCAGAACCCAGAATGGAGAGATGACAATCCGAGCCGGAAAAGGATGAGAATGGCGCAGAACCGAGGTCCGATGTTGACCTCCCCAACGAGATTCGGAAGGACGAACTCAACTCCCCCGCAACAACCTGCAGGTAAACCTCCAGTTAATTGGACTCCCTTTAATCTGCCGAGGTCACAAATTTTCATGCAGATCAAAAATAAGATGGACTTGAAGCGTCCTGGCCCAATGCGAACTGCTGCTGCTAGTCGAGACCATACCAGATATTGTGATTTCCACCAAGATCACGGCCATACTACGAGCAGTGTAACAGCTTAAAGTCCGAACTAGAAAGTTTAGCTCAGAAGGGAATGCTGAATGAGTATGTTCAGAGAGCTGAGCAACCGAGGTTTGTCAGAGAGCAGAGGCCGCAGCCTCAAGGAGTCCGCAATCCCCCAAATAGACAAGGTGTGGGATATCAGCAAACCCCATCTCCGCTCCCACCACCGGCTAGAATCATACATATGATTACGGGAGGCCTTAAAGCAGGTGGACTGAGCTCTAAACAGCGAAAGCTGTATGTCAGAGAAGTTAAGCATCAAAATCGAGCTCAGAAGCGAAAGATTGATGATGCTGAGTGGAAAAATCAACCTATTACTTTCACATCTACTGACCTCGACACAGTTGTTACACCCCACAATGATCCTCTGGTCACTTCCGTCATGATCAATAACTGTGAAGTACAACGTGTCCTTGTTGACATCGAGAGTGCACCAGACATCATGTATTTTCACTGTTTCGAGAGTCTGGGACTAGATCCAGCTCTGTTGCAGAAGTATGATGGTCCTATCTATGGTTTCAACAACCAGCCTGTTCCGGTAGAAGGAGTTCTTACTCTCCATGTGGCTTTTGGAAGTGACAGAACCTATGTAACCCCGTCGGTCTGGTTCCTCGTCGTCAAAATGGCGTCCTCTTTCAACATTGTTATTGGTTGACCCACATTGACCGAAATCCGAGCTGTGGTTTCCCAATCTCACCTCTGCATGAAATTCCCCACTCCTATGGGAATAGCAACATTGCGAGGAAACCAGGAGGTGGCCAGACACTATTATATCACCTCGGTAACACAACCAACGAAGGGCAAAGATAAGACACCCGAGGTCATTCCCCAGCAAATTCACGATAATCAGCAGGTTATGGGTGTAGAGATCGTCGATAATCGACCGGAAGATGAAACCAGAGCTGCTCCAGTTGAAGACGTTGAAGAAATACTCATTGATGACAGAGATCCGAGCCGAAAGACACAGATCGGAACTAGATTGAGCCCAGAAGAAAGAGCAGAGCTAATAGCCTTTCTTCGAGCTAATAATGATGTATTTGCATGGACCTCG